GTGATTTTGATATTCATTTAATATTCCAATGGGGAATATGTTCTTGCTTCTCATACATTTAACGCATGTTTATTGTTGTGTCATTGTGGAAATTGTCATACCGGTTTCTTCCGGAGCAGACATTAAAGCGCTAATGCTAATATACAATCTTCTAAGTTTATCATTTGAATGTAAATAAACAGCTAATATAAAATGCATCAATGATAATAATCACAAATTCAACAATTTAAATAAATCAATTCTTAATATAATATAGTAATAATAAAGGATAAGAATATTTAATTACCTGATCTAAAAACGGAAGTAAATCATCTTTGGTTGGTAAGCATACGCGCAATGATAAATTCTTATATTTACCAGGCGCTATACCATCTGCATTACATTTTGCCACTTCACCTTTTTCAAGGATTTGTACAAAATTTTTTAATGTACCACCCATACTTTTACAAATATCACAATAAACACTGCAAAAAAGGATAGCAATAATCATGATAAGGATTATTTGATAAAGGAACGATAACAGATAACATATTTTATATTATTTGATTGTTATTTCAAAATGTTATCGAATTTTTTATTGTTTTTGTTATTTTTGCTTTGCTAATCATTAAAAAGATTCAAAATTCTTCATTTTTTCCGTTTTATGTTTTCACTGCTAATTTTATTTTGTAATTTTTTTTGAAAATATTAACTTCCTCAAAATGATCGAATTTATGTTTAGCACTTAGTCAGTCTTTAATTTTTACATATTAATCAAATATTGCTATTCAATACCTAACACTGAAATGTTAACATATAATGTCATGGAGGATGTTCATGAAAGTTATATGAGAAATGAAATTGCATTTAAAAAAAGTTTATCGATAAAACAGTGGAAAATACTTAAATATCATAATTTCAGATGATATTAATGAATTAATATGTTTCGGTACATGTAATGCGCATATAGTTTTTAACTATTTCGAAGACTTTTTTTTCGCTCCTAATGTCAATTGGTAATATTTAAGTTTATTATTTCAAATTAAGATCACTTTTAGTGTAATATATAGCATTGCATATTTCTGACTATTTTATATCTTTTATACTAATTATAAAATTAACCAATTTACATACGAAAATTGATAAATTATAAAATTTAAAATATTGAAACAAACCATGAGCCTACACCGCCACAACCATCCGCATCTGCGTTCACGCATCGTTCCGGTTTACCATTGATGCCAATTTTAGTCTCCAAATGTATGTAATATTTAGCGGTACCATTAAGACCAGGTGGATACACCTACAATGAACAGCCGTGTAAAGTCGGATTTTAAATGAATTCCCATTTTAAATATATTTGCTTTAAAATTTACACCAGAAAAACAGATTTTGATGCTATATTTGCGGGTAGAAATATTGAAATTCAAATTTACAATAATTTTTTTTTTCCGAACCCAAGCAAATGGTAAATAATTGTGTAACGATTTCAAAAATCTACCAGAAATAATAAGCACCAGGCGCTTATTTCGCATGTAAAAATTTTGATATCTAATTATATTGAACCATTCAAAAATATCTTGCAATTTAAGAATGAAATTAAAGTTTCTTTTTTCTTTTTTCCTTTTTCACCATAATTTTTTTTTTCAATCTTGATTTGTTATTTCAACATATATATTATATATTAATTTTCAACATGGACAACAAATATGAAAACGCCAACAACAAAAATAGCAACAATAACAATAACAATAACAATAACAAAAAGAACAGCAACAAGAATAACAACTACAATAATAATAACGACGACAAAAACAACAACAATAACAACACTACAAGAATACTAACGATAATAATCACAGTAACAATAGCAAATAAGAATATCAAATAACAACAATAATGATGACAACAACAACAACAACACCACCAACAACAACAACAACAACAACAACAACAACAACAACAACCTAAACTTGCTAGATTAATTTTTGGATAATAATGAATTTTTACAATAATTAATAAAAATATTATCAATTTTAAAGAAGCAAAAAAAAATCATTTATTATTTTCTTTTCGACAACAAAATTAAAAATAAAGAAATATTGTTGCAACAAAGGCAAACCTCAACGTCTCCACCACTCATTCGGAAACATTTATGATCAAAGGAATTTTCCTCGGCTGTAAATTTTACACCGTCGGATTTATAGCTTGGAAATTTTATTCGTAGATTCTCCTTAGTTGGACCTGAAAAATCAACAAATTTTTAATAAATTCTATAATTAAATTTTATATTCATTTAATTTTTTTTAATATTTTGTTTTTATACGTATATTGACGTAGGTTTGATCTTAAGATTGTAAAATAATCATCGGGAGAAAATGAGAGATTGCACTTAATTTTAATATAATCAAATTCAAGCTATTAACTCTCATCAATTGAATTATTTGTGCTATTTCGATATTATCACTTAGCATTTGCTGTATATTAAATTTTAAATTGAGAATTATTAAACATTCCCATCAATATTTTTTTGTACAGCATTTGAAATAATTTTGAAACTTTTTTTCTCTCAATATAATATTTACAAAATTAAATGAACATAAAGATAATAATTAAAAAATATTATCCTTATAAAGAGTAAATTTCTATCAGTTTTAGTTTTAAATTTTAAAAAGCAAAATTTATTGATAGTTGAAACTTTTAAATTAAAAAAAAAAAAGACCAGAGATTGATTCATATGAATAAAATGATTTTGTATTAAATTTGTTGCTTAGAAATGGATTTAAATTGATCTTTTGTCGTAAGAAAAATTGTCAGAGAAAAGAAGACCGGTTTTGTTTCTTTTTTTTTGGTTTTAAAGTTTTTAAAATGTACTCAGCTATGCCTTTTTCAGAAGTCGTATAATGATGGTGATGATGATGATGGTGATGATGATGATGATGATGAGATGATGATGATGATAATGAAATGACAATCAATTTTTCACTAACTAACTGACAATTTATAGATGTCACTCAACGCGTGTGTGTGTGTCTGTCTGTCTGTCTGTCCGTCCGTCCGTCCGTCTGTCTGTCTGTCTGTCTGTCTGTCCTTACATATGTATGTTTGTCGGTGACGAAAATATTAACATTTTTAAGAAAATTTTTTTTTTTCTTCACCCTGAAAGATACTCATTTGAAAAACTAAATTTCAATTATTCTAACAACTCTTTTATCATGCCATCAATATCCCAATGAAATATAAAATACAAAATTAGCTTATAATATAATTTCAATAAACTTTATGATCGCTAATATTAAATTCTTATATTTTTTATGTTTTAGTAATTTTAGAAAAAAAATTACGAACCTAATCAACCATATATTTTTACTGAAGTTACTTTTAGCTATTATATGAACATCTCTAAGATGGTTGACAAAAAAAAAATTAAAAAATATGGAGAATTTGCCTTGTGTGAAACGAAATGACAATATTTTATGTTATTAAAAAGAAATATAATATTAAAAAGAAATTAAAATGAGTAAATAAGCAATTTTGAAGTTTTCTGTGGGTACATCAAAGTAAAAAATAATATTATGGAAATTTAAAAAGAGCAAATTCTAAAAAAATCTTATATTTGACATACGTCATCATGACGTATGTTATCGATACAAGAAAAAAAAAACAATAATAAATTAATTTGGCCACTGTAAAATTAATCTTTTAGATGGATCAATTTGAGTTTTATATAAAATATTATACAAAACAATAAAAAAAAAAATTCCTTAAATAATCTATCAAAGATTGTTTCACAAATTATAATTTCAATTTTAATTTTATCCCTAAATATAACAGTGCACTATTGATTAAGCATCCTACTACATTTTTTTAATATCAAAAAATTCACTTTCCAAATTTCTAAATTTAATTTTAACTTTTTAATTTTCCTCTCTCACATTTATTGCTAAATATATGTTAATATATTGAAATGATTACTATTATGAATTTTTTTTTCTGTTTAAAAAAAAAAAAATTAAATACCTGAGGTAGAACATGGAAAATGTCGCTCAATTTCAACCGATAATTCACCCCGCTTCGATTTAGCGGCATGAGATATACCTACAGCAATAGAAAGTATCAAAATATACATATTTGGTTGACATTTTGCAACCCATGGTGACGACATTTGATAGCGAGTTAGCTGTCTGTCGTTGCTGCAATAAAAAAAAAAAAGAAAAGAAAAGGAAAGGAAGTAAATGAAACAAATTACGAAAAGAAAAAAAAAAAAATCTTTTAAATCGCCATTATACCATTTCAAAATGTTGCTAAACGTTTTTTGTTAATTATTTCCTTTTTTTTTTCTGGTCTCTCAACTTATAAAACAATTAAATTAGATTTGGTGCAATACATATAAATGAGAAAAAAATTTTTTAAAACAAATAAATGTAATCAATGATTATTTAGCAATAATGATTCTACAGTTGATAATAGGCATTGTTAAAAGATAACGACGATTACATAATGATGATAAGAATCCAAATAGAAACGACTGAAGAGCATTGATAAACATTTCAATGATGGTAGTGTTATCAACAAATAATGATGATAACGGTGATTTTAATAATGATATTTGATAAACGTTAAACATTACATAGTCGAAAAAATGATATACGGAAAATTCAATTTACTAATTTATTTTACAGTTTATTGAAAAATTATAAATTGTAAATATATTTTACGTGATATGTACATATTTTTACGTAATATGTACATAAAGAACACATATTAAGCTATCTTATCACCTTAATGAATCTATTTGATAGCATCATTTTCCACAATGTTTAATTGTGAAATTTCAGATGATTATTTAAAATATCAACTATGATATCTGGATGAAAATAAATGATATATAGTAGTGTTAAATGACGACAAAAGCGCTGACTATGATGATATTGAAAACTGATGATAATAAATTTGATATCACCATGTCTATGTACCTGTGTGTGTATGTGTGTATGCGTGTGTGTGTGTGTGTGTGTATATGTGTGTGTGCACATACGTATATGCGTGTACGTGTTCGTGTGTGTTTATCGACTTGTCTGTATGCAGCAAATATGAAGATACCGCCCAATACAACGACCGGTTTCTTCCAAAATTTCCTCTCTCTCTTTCAATAACAAAACAAAAAAAAGGAAGCGATCTATACGTATACGTATACATATGTGCCATTTTAAAGTTAGATAATTAGTACTGATCATATAAACGTACTTCGGTAATGTATGTCTCTTAGATGCGCAAACTTCCTTATTACAAATTAAATTTAGAAAATGATGAAATAAACGGAAATGAATAATCACTATTATATTTGTTTGAAAATTTAAATGGTAATGATGAATATATACTACATTATATAGTATTAATATGATATATATAATCAAGCATAACTTACATTTGCAAATTATGTAAGTTGTATATAAAATTTCAATAAATTTTTTTCTTTTCATGTAAAAATCTGATGAATTTTATTGTATTTAATAATAATTTTATAAAAATTTAACAAAATTATCTTCATTCTTATGAGAATTATTATTGCATTGAATTTTTATGAAATGTAACAAATTTTTGCATTCATCTGTGTATTATCAGATAAACGTAAAGGTAATAAATTTAATTAGTTATATGATTTTATCAAGTTAAATACACAGTATCAAACTGTAATATGTCATTACTGTATCTTTACCATCCGAATATTTCCATTTCTTTTTTTTTTCTATCATTCTTTATTCAATTATATAACCTATTTAACTTCTTGCAACAAAAAAAAAACAAATGAAATATTAATTTGAATTGATTCCTTCTTCATTTAATTCTTATACTTCTAAATGAAATTCTTATTTTTAAAAGGTTTTTTTCCTCTAATTAGTATATTTGTTTTTTTGCTGTTTTGTTTATTTGAAATAAAAAATTACGATGTAAAAATTAAAATGCTCTTTTTTTTTCAAAAATTTCCCTAATATTACACGGCAATTTTTAGCTTTTATTTTTTGTTCAATGCTTGAAAATTTACTCATTGTTCATTTCTAGTTCATTAAAAATTTAATGCTAAAATAAAGCAAAAACAAGCAATCTTTTTTGTTCGTAAAAACAATTATGTCAAATTTCGTGCGGAAAAAAATTTTTTAGCTATATAATTTATATAAAACAAGTTGCTTGTTTAAAAGTAGTACTTCTCGTAATGATGCAAACATTACTGCATATCTTTGTGAATACATCGTTGTTCTTCTTTTTCTTTTTTTAAAATAGAAAATTGAAAATTTTCAATTAAATTTTAACATAGAGAGAGGAAGAAAACAACACTGAATCATTTAATTTCCAATGTGAAGAAAGCAAAATGTGCATATGACGAATGTTAACTATAAAATTCCAATCAAAGTTCAGGTCATCAATTTTTGTTAACTAACACTTTATGCAGTCTTTCTTTTCTTATTTTTTTTGATGAAAGATTAGTTTCGAAAATAAAATATTTTATTTTTATTTCTTCCTAGGAAAAAGGCGAAAAAAAATCATGAAATAAATTATGGAAAGAAAAAGAAAAAATTTTGTGGA